CGGCGGGCACGGGGCCAATCCTGTAGCCCTTTCTCTCTTCCATGCAGCACAAAGTGATGGAGGATCTTCTGTAGCCTTAGAGAAACGGGAACGGCTGGTCCTACCCAACCCCACCCCTCTGCCCAACCGCTCTGCGGTGATGGGAATGAGTGGGATGAAGGCATCTGGGCTGGTGGCAACCCTCCAACCTGGCCACCAGCATCTATTTTGCAGATCTGGGTTTACCCACCCAGCCTGGAAGGGACCTCGAGCATCTCTCAGGGATGGCTCAGGGGATTTCCACCCTCGGGGCTCTCAATAGGAAGGGAGGGAGATGGCTTTTGTGATGGCTGAGCTCCTGGAGGGACTCCAGTTCTCTTCTGTTTTATTAAATGCCAGGGCAGGCAGGTGGATTGTCCTCATTAAGCCGTGATTTATAGGCGAGGCTGCCGTCCAGATGAAATCAGAGCTAAATGAACCCCTTAAAATTAGCCTTGGGCTTCTTCCAATGCAAACAAAGAGCCAGTGGTTTTTTCCAGGTCGGCTGCTACGTTCAGCGGGAACACTCAGCGGTCCCCACGGAGGGTGGCTGGGCAGCTGAGCCGGGTCAGAACCGATGACACAGCATCCGAGTCATCAGGCGGCTCCGCATCTGAGATCTGAGCATCCCCGAAGGGGACATCCCTGCCTGGGCAGGGGACGCCATAGGGCGGCTGAGGATGCTGTAGGGTGTCTGAGGATGCTCTAGGGCAGCTCAGAATGCCATAGGGTGGCTGGGGACGCCATAGGGTGGCTGAGGATGCTGTAAGGCAGCTGAGGATGCTCTAGGGTGGCTGAGGATGCTCTAGGGTAGCTGATTCTATAGGGTGGCTGGGGACGCCATATGGCAGCTGAGGATGCTATAGGGCAGCCAAGGATGCTGTAGGGTGGCCGAGGATGCTGTAGGGTGACAGAAGATGCTGTAGGGTGGCTGAGGATGCTGTAGGGTGGCCAAGGATGCTATAGGACGGCTGAGGATGCTGTAGGGTGGCAGGGGACATCCCCTTCATGGGGACATCCTTGCGGTTGGAGCAGAGGGCTGAGCGCTGTAAAAAAAAGCTTGCCATGTGCGCTTGGGCCGTGCAAGGCTGTGGACACTTGCTTTATTTTCAAACAGGTACGGAAATGAAATCAGGAGCTGGTATTCAAGCAGGTATGGAAATCATGAGCCCTGACAGCGAACGTGAAATTGTCCCCAGCCATTAACCACATTCGAGGAAAACAGTTGTCCTCCTGGACCGGCAGCTTTCCGGCAGGGCAGGAAGGGGTGTAGGAGAGTTTTAGGGCAGTGACTGGGACACAGACTGGGGAAACTGGAGCGGTCCGGTCTCCACTCTGCCACTGCCCCACTCTGCAAAGCCCCGCAGCCTCTCTGTGCCCCAGCTCCCCAGCCACCCAGGGGGGGACAACAGGATTAAAGTGCTGCAAAATGGACCATCTAAATACTCTTTAAAAAAATAAAAAAAATAAAAAAAAAAAGAGGGAGAAGGACAAATTCCCAGGATCTTCACCATCCCAGCCACCGGTTTGTGTCACTGTCCCTTTGCAGTCACCTCTTTTTTTCCACCCCGGTCCCTGCATGCTTCTCCATCATCTTCATCACCATCACTACCTGCTTCTCTCCCGAGTTCTGCAAAAAATGAGCCAGCAGCACCCCCAAGGACCCCAATCTCCTGTCCCCTCACCCTTTCGCTCCATATTCCCTTGGGACAGATTAAAAAAATCCCACGATGGGGAATCACCGTGACTTCGGGCTCCCCAGAGGAGAAAAATCCTAATTTTTTCTTGCCGATGTGCTGGAGGATGCTGGGTTTGGGCTGAGCTCCTCGGTGCAGCGGGAATTGGCTCCAGCACCTTCTACCTGTGCTCCAGGGAAGATGAAAGCCGTTTTTTAGGTCAAGCCTGAGCAGAAGAGGCTCAACTCAACCAGCAGCAATTTTTTAGCATCCTACAATTCCCAAAATAGGGCTCAGGACCCACGGACTGGGTGCTGAAGGGTGACATGAAGTGGCTTTGCCACTCCCCTGTCCCAGATGGGGTTTGATAACAATTTGCTGACTACACGGGGAAGATGCTGGTGGAGTTACGACTCCTCCCAGTCCCACCAGTAAGGCTGTGTTGCCCCTTAGAAATCTGGGATGGAATTCATGGTCCACACCTGCCCCACACCAGCAGACAATGAGAAATTATTTTCTTATCACCCATCAGGCTGCTGGGCTTGGCATCTCCTCTAGACCACCCATGTGTCCCCATGTCCCCAAGGTCCAGCACCATTCCCGACCCCATCCACTCAGATGAGGAGGAAGGAGGACCACCCCTTTTCATCCATTTTTTTCCTCCATTCAGCCCAAAATACATTTTGGAAAGGTCCAGGAAAGCGGTCAGGACACGCTCCCTGTGCTTAGCCATCCATCCTGGCAGAGGTCACCCCACTTTTGGCCCATTGGGGGTCCAACAGGAGCCTTTGGGGGACCTAGAGATATCTGCTGCTTTTGGGGAGAGGGTCTTGGGGATGAGGTTCATCATTCCGGACAAGAAAAGCAATTTGTGGTACCCGCAGGTCGGTGTCCTGCGAGTGCAAATAAATCAGTAAATCAATAAATTGGCTTCACTGGCCAAGCCACCGAAAACCGTCGCTCTTGTCCCAGTCCTTGGAGCACCTTCAGGGGGTCGGAGAAGGATGGCGGAGTCCATAAACCAAGGGAAAAGGCAGAAAATTGGGATATAAAACCAGCAGAAACTAGGAATGATGGCTCTTGAGTTCATCCGTCCATCCTTTCCTGCCAGGTCTTGGTGCCTGTCTCCGTTCCTCCATCCTGCTTCCAGCCTTTTTCCCAGCCTGCTCCAATGCCATTTCTTTTTCATAATAAAATAATATTTTCATGAATAATATTCAAATAATATTTTCATGAATAATATTCAAACACCATCTTCTTTTCCATCCTTTGGAGATCCTCATTCATTTGGAAATCCTCATTTATCCTCAGAGCACTCGTTAGCCCGCTCTTCTGGCTCCCTCCTCTTCCTCCCAGGGGAAACTGAGGCACAGAGAGGTCAGGGCTTGCACAAATCTCACCCCTACAGGGACGAGGGAGCGGGGAAGAAGCTCCATTTGGCCCCAAAAAACCCTCTCTGGGCTCATCACCGAGCTGCTTTCCAATAGCTGAGGGTGGGTCCCTTGGGGGGGGAAAAAATCCTCTTGGTGACCTTCATCCCACCTTCATGCTCCATCCTCTTCCTCTTGCAGAGTCGGTGCCCATGGCAGTGATCATCGGCGTGGCCGTGGGGGCCGGCGTGGCGTTCCTGGTGTTGATGGCCACCATCGTCGCCTTCTGCTGCGCCCGCTCCCAAAGGAGTAAGTGTCCCTCCCCCGGACCCCGTCGTGTCCCTTCGGGCGGGATTGGGGCTAAAATCTGGAATAAATTGGGTCACAAAAAAAATTAGAGGGTGAATTTGTTGACGTGGCATCAACACAATTTGCTCCTTGTGTTGGTCAACCCAATGGAGATGCAAGAAGCATCCTCACCGTGCTTAAAATTCCTCTTTGCTGTTGTGGTTCTGGTTTAATTCATTATTTTTTGGATGTAAAATGGGAAATTCCAGCCAGCCCAAGGATTTTCCAGGGTTTCAGAGCCTAGCTGTGGTGGGAATCCGAGTGAAGGGATGGAGGTAGAGGAGAAGGAGGGGTAAACATCATTCAAAGGCCACTGGGAAATGAAAAGAGGATCGTTGGCTGGATTAAAAAGCATCAAACCCGGAGGGAAAAAAATGTGATTTTCCAGAGGATCTCAAACCACGGGGGAGAGGAGGAGACGCTCGATGGCTCGGGAACCACGGCGTACGGGTGCCGCGATGCCAAGTTCTGTGTATGTGGCAGAAAACCTTTTTTTTTTAAATTTTATTTTTTTATTTTTTTGCCCCTTCTTGATGGTTTGCAAAGAAGCCACCAGGCTCCTCCTGGATGTGGGGATGAAACTGGTTTGATGTGACGAGCTCGCCCTGTTTTATCCCATTGTTCGGAACTCTCACAGCCTCTATTAGCAAATATTCACGAATTAAACGGGGAGCGGTCGTTAATCTGGCTTTTGGGGGGAGAATCAGGGGATTTTGTCTGAGCATCTTCTGCGCCTTCACCCCGTGCCCTGGGGAAAATCCCGCAGCATCCCTGGAGGAGAACTTCCTTGCTGCTTGGCTTTGGGATCCGAGCGAGCCAGCAGGAAAAAATCATCCAAGAGATCAGCGAAAATCCCCTTCCCCAAAATTCCTCCAAAGAGGAGGAACTGCGCAATTTTTTCCGGACCCAACCGGGGACACCGGCTCGGTGACGGATGCTTTGCTGGGTCGCACTGGGAGAGGCAAAAAAATCCACTTGGACATGGAGGCTGTTGAAAACTGAGGAAAAAAAGAAAAAAAAAAACCAAGATTTTACTGCACAGCTGTTGTTGTATCTTGGGTGACTTAACGGCCCAGAGTTATTTAAGGGGGAACGCTCCTGGGAGAAGATGTGCAAGATGGTAATTAGCATCTGCTGGTGATTAAAGACGAAGGCAGTGACACTGGGAACATGGACTCAGCAAGATGAAAAAAAAAAAAGAAATTAAAAAAAATAATAATAATTCAAAAATTTTTAAAAAT